TCAGTTCTGCTTGAATCACTCAACAAGAATGAGCAATCGGCCAATGGCCAGTCCCAGTCTAGGGAGTCCACAAACCCTCAGTTCAAGAAAATGAGCGGAGACTTCCCGTCGGCCAACGGAGAGGCTGGTGGGGAGGCCCCCAAGGGCTACACTCAGGACCAGGTGGATGCAGTGAAGAGGTGTGTGTGCACAGCTCTCCAGGGCTTCAACTTGAATCACTCAACAAGAATGAGCAATCGGCCAATGGCCAGTCCCAGTCTAGGGAGTCCACAAACCCTCAGTTCAAGAAAATGAGCGGAGACTTCCCGTCGGCCAACGGAGAGGCTGGTGGGGAGGCCCCCAAGGGCTACACTCAGGACCAGGTGGATGCAGTGAAGAGGTGTGTGTGCACAGCTCTCCAGGGCTTCAACCCCCAGTTTGTTTGAGTTTATCCGTCTGTTTTTCACAATGTTTCAAAGATTTCAGCTTTGAACCATATTGAGTGGTTTTTAACTGGCTGGGTGTTAAAAGCGTACCTAGGAGGATTTATAGCTACAGCAGCCTTGGGAGGCAGCTGGGTTGGGTCTACAAGGGATGAGATTTTCCCCTGAAGGCATGCACAAGGGCTAGAACTGTAGGCACGTAGGCCTCTTCCTGGCCGAGTTCCAAAGAGGCATTTTGGATGCATTCATCTCACGGACTTCACATTAATGTTTGCTTTAGCGTTATTCAGTAATGCTGTGAAAAATCCCGTGTGGTCCTGAGATCTATAGGTGGAAGCCATGGCTCAGAGCTTGCGGTAGGCAGCCCTCCTGCTCTAAGCTTTGGTCTAGTAGTAAGTGACAGGGCATACCATTCTTCCTCTCTCCTGGTAATACTCTGCTCATGGTCTCTCTTAGAGCCCGATAAAGTAGAAATCCACTGCAGGATGCTTCACTCTGTTAGCACGATACCCTTCTAAAGCTCCTGCTGGAAAGTCCCAGGACACGTTTATCCAGTCACCTGTTTTCCAAACCCTGTTTCAAGCTGTTCTTTATTCCTTTCTACCATATGCAAATACTGGAAGTTGCAGGACTGAGCTGCAGGCACACTCACTTGGTAAACTTTGTTTAAGGTTATGGGCACGGTCTGAATTGTGCAAGAAACGCTAGGTCAAGAACCGCGCTGGCTAATGGACTTATGGGGATGCTTGTTACATCATCCATTTCTCCAAAAACCCAGCCTGTTGTATTCTGTCTCATTGAAGTCATGTGAGAAGGGGAAAGCATCGCTGGGCTGTGAGTGTACCCCGAGTGAACTGGGTTGCGCACACAGGCCTGAGCAGCTCTCTTTCTTCCTCTAGAATTCAGCTGATGTTGGGTTTAGGTCTGTGATTTAACTGAGTCTGAGGAGAGGAGGGAGAAAAAAGCCAATAGCCCAGCTACCCTTCAGATCCTGGCCTGCTGTTTGTATTCTCCCCCAAATAGCCTTCAAAATGTGAGCATGATGAATCTGAAGTTTATTTGCCAATCACATTCCTTTGGGGGTGATATCATTGCCTGAGGAGAGGCCCTTCTACCTCTACTGGCTTGACTTGTTCTGGGAGAGTGTTTGTGTGCTAGTAATGCAGGCGCAGCGGGAATGAGTCTGTGAAAAAAATTGGGTCACCCTCTGAGAAATTAAAGCTGAGGAAACCAGAGTTTGCTGAACAACATCGAAACTGCGATGCGTGAGATGCTGCAGCGTTGATGTGTTCAATGTGAAGTGGTTTTCACAACTGAAACTAACTGTCCGTGTTTTCTCCCCTCTCTACTGGCAGGGTAAAGCAATGCAAAGATTACTATGAAATTCTGGGAGTAAACAGAGAAGCTTCTGACGAGGACCTGAAAAAAGCTTACCGGAAACTTGCACTGAAGTTTCACCCAGATAAGAACCACGCACCAGGGGCTACAGAGGCGTTTAAAGGTAAAGGAAGTTTCCAACTTTGTGATTTGCCCTCACCTATCAGGTGATGGTGCCCAGCTGGGCTAGCAAGGACTCTTAAAAATAACCTCACAAGTCAGGTAGAGTGAAATAAAGCTCCTCTTTGTAAAGTTGTCTCTCTTCTGAGCAGGTTATACTATGAACAAAGTATAAGCTTAAAATAATAAACGCCAGGCTGGCACAGGTAGGATTCACTCTGCTCATCGGACAAGGAGAAGCCTTCCTTCCCTCTCTTCTAGCAGCCCTTCCTGTGTGTTGCTCCAGCCTCCTGCCACGCTGCTTAGGAAGAAATTCCCTTGGGGTGTTAGCCATCCTCTTTTTTGGAGACATGCAGGCACATTCACCTAGCAGGGAGAAGCTCCAACTCCTGCAGCCATCCGGCAGCCCTGTCTACTGACAAATCCAGTAGAGACCCAGTGAGTTGTGCAGCACGAGAGGCAGCTGTTGGGTTCACAAATCCCTCAAGAGAAACATCGCTGGGCAGGCCCAGTGGCAGGAAACTCATCTTCTTCTGAACTGGTATTTAGACTCTTCTACTCGATGAGCATTTCAGGCAGCCAGTAAGCCTTCAGGTTTCTAAGCAAGCACTCAGCACCTGACTCTTGCAAAAGGCTGCGGGTGGAATTGGTGGATAGAAACCCCAGGTGAAAATTTCTAGGGCGAAACTGCACCAGCCATATGACTGAGCCCAGCCAGAACTCAGAAGAGGTCACCGGGAGCTTCAGTTCTGCTGCAAAGAGCCTAATTCTCAGGGCTTCTCTACAAATGCAGCAGGGATGTTTCCTGGTAATAAGATACCTTGAAACTGGAGTAATTTTCCAAACGAACTGCTATTGCTTGGAACATATAACCCCATTTTCCCTTGCAAGCTGTGTAAGTTTGCAAGTTTAGCAAGTTGAGCTAAACGCAGAACTTCTTGACGCCAGTTGTACGGCACTGGTTTTGCGGTGTGAAGCTCTTTAAATAGTGCGGTCTGATTCCAGCCATCTTAGGAGGAAAATGCATGAGACTTCTGCTGGAGCAGGGAGCAAGGCTAGCCTGGTGTGAGTGTATTGATACAGTATTCAGGTAAGCTTCTAGTAGACATGAATTCAACAGTAAAAGTCTTATGTAAGGTTTGTTCAAGTCTTTTAAGACTTAAATGCATAACTGATAAGTGTGTTGCTGTTAGCAAATAATGAGCTGACCCCCAGCTACCTGGGAGAGCCTGTTTTAGTATGGGGGCCAGATTAAAGAGCGAGCATCTGCAGACATCTGTCTACGCCGCATGTGCAGTAAGCCGCTGTTCGATAGTTTATCCTTCAATCCTTGCTAAGTGGCGAAAGGCAGGTTTCTTCACCTGTAATCTTAAATAATGATGTTTGCCGAAGGCTTTGACAAGAGTTACGTGCCAGAAGTCGTGCGTTAAGCAAGGTGCCCTTTATCCTCCACTGCAGAGCTATCTGCTCTCACGTTATCTGTCCTCCAAGCCTTGCCTCGTTGGCTCCCTCGTCCCTCAGCCCCTGAGCTGAGCTCCTAGTTTGCAGGGCTCACTGAAGTCCGTCTGTTTGGTTCCAGAGGGTGAAGGGGGAAATGTGCACTGCTATGAGGATTCTAGTTAATTTTTTCTTACATTGATGTATGAGCTGAAGTCTTGGCATTCGTCCTCCCAGTGACAGCTGATAAAGTGTTACGTCTTGTCCTGAGACCTTGTTTCAGTCCCATAGTTGCAGTTGGCTGCAGTCTGTCTTGTTGCAGATTTGCATCACTACCTTTGGCTGACGTTGGAAAAAGAGTTGAACCTGGCTACTTGGAGCTAAAATCCTGATTTGGAATGAGGTGCTGCTTGGGCTTTGTCAGCAGAAAGTCAGACAACGAACAAAACCCTGAACCG